GCTGGGATTATTGTTGAGAAAAGCAGAGGGAGGTCACGTCTACACTGCACACTGCCCCCCCGGCCCCCCCCCCCCCGCCCCAGCCCAGGCCAGCTGAGCTGCAGACGAGAGGCTGGAATTTGCTTTGGGCTTCTCTTCTGTCCAGTGCAGTCTTTCAGGGAGGTCATCCCATGCTGTTCCGTTCTTTTGTGGTTTCCTGAGTCCTCACCTGTGCCTGGTATCCGGCTGGGCACCTCCGAGAAGGGGAAGGTGGTTGTCCCCCTCGAGTCAAGGTGTGGGAAAGGCAAGTACCGTGAAGGAGGCACGGAGGATGCCGTAAGGTTATGTGAAGGGAGAGATCCGACCGTGGAGGCAGAAGAAGGGGCCCAGAAGGGGGGTGACATCTGAGACACAGCCGTCAGAGGGTGGCGATGGCAGGTTGGCTGGAGCGGGCTTGCTGCAGGACCCGAGGCCACCAGCCCTTCCTCGGAGAGCGGAGTCCCCAGCCAAGCCGTGACAGCTGGGCCCGTTCTGCGTCTGGGATTACAGCATTCGGTGAGAAGTTAATCACAAACATGAATCAGCCTTGTTTTTTCCTTCTCAGCTCAGCTCCCGAGCTCTGCAGGGGAGTGGGCAGGGCCCCTCGCGGATGTACAGGAAGTCATACTGGGGGGAAACATGAAGCCAGCCATTTCTCACCGGAGCCAAGCCATTACCTGTGTCTGGGGATAGCCCGGGGGACTGACTACGCTACCTAGGGGCAGAATCCCCTCAGCATGGCCGGCAGGAAGGAGAACTGTTTCACGGGCCAACTGACTTGTTCGTTTCCACCCAGGCTGGTGCCCACTGGGCAGTTTGACGAGTCAGGGAGCCCCACCCCAGCTCTGCAGCTCCCCTTGGGCTGAACTGCGTCTAGGTCAGAAACCCTCCCTGGCTAAGGTTTCTGTTCTCTCTTCTCCCAGCCCCAGGGGTCAGTTTACATAGAAAACCCACTTCTCTTCCAAACCAGCAGGACTGGGTTGAGACCCTCGGTTCTGCCAAAAACCCCTCCCGCCCCAACCCTCTGTAGGAATGTCCCACGATCTCCCTACCCTCACGTTCCCTCACATTCGCACTGCTTCAGCGCTGCAGTCATCCCATGGGCTGATATTTGCAGGGTGGTTGTCACTTACAAACACCGGTGACGGGGTCAGCGTCCTCTGTGCCGGCACCCCCTTGCCCTCTGTTGACAGATTTGGTAAATGCCGCCCGTGGTTGTGTCCATGCTGACCCTGCAGGGCAGCCATTTAGCGAATGCTGTGCTTGGCTCAGAGTGATGCCATCACGAAATATTTTCCTTCCTTCTGAATTCCGTTTGCGAAACCCTCAGCTGCCAGCAGTTCTTGACAAAGCAAAGGCCTCAATGTCATCAGAGGGAAGTAATCCTCCCCAGAATCTTAGTAAATCTCAGTAGGTTGCCGGGACTGCGAAGTATTTCATTTCTTTGTTTCTTTTCGTGTTTTTTTTTTTTTTTTTTTTTTTAAGGCATTAAAGTTACTGCATACAAGTAGTTAATCAGAAAGCTTTAGTGACTTGGACTTCAGAGGTGATTACACAAGCCCACAAATGTTCAAGAAATTCTCTGAGTTTGAGTGTCGCATCTATTTATGTAGCAAAAGGAATCGGATTCTTTTTTCCCTCTGCCCCAGGAAAGTTCCATGTGGGAAATAGGCACTAGGGAGTGCGAGAACCAACAGGGTTTCTTACTGTCAAAACCTAAAGCAAGTCAGTCCCACCCCTGGCATCAAAAAAAAAAAGTGGATTTGAGTGGCTTGATCCAGAAAGGAGAACTTGCAAAGGGGGTGGCATGGTCCAGAATCCAGTGAGACGGGTAGATGGAGATCAAGATGTACCGGGAGAGGCCTGAGTAGGCGTGGGAGGAGCACACAGGAAAAGGCATGAAAAACATTCAAGGAGCTGTTCTCCCTTCCAAGCGCACCGAGTGGCTACAGGAAAGGGTCAAGATAATGTGTGCGAACAGACACCAGTGTGTCCTTTCAGCCTAGACAAACATACACCAGAGGTTGTGCACACACTGTGACCTCAACGTCAAAGTCACTCGTTATCAACAAAGCCCGCACTCACATCTGGACAAAGGCCGAAAGATCGCCCACAGATGCGCTCGCCCACCCCCACCTGAGACACGAATAAACAAGCGTGCTGTCCAAAGCTGTCCCCTCCTCTATCTGTAACAGACTGCAGGGGATCTTCTCTCGGGCTTCTCCCGGTGTCTTTCAAAGTGAATTGTTTGCTCAGACCTCCGTTTTGACTTTCAACACAATCGAACACATTAGCAGACCCGCTTAGGTGGGGTTTGCCAGGCTGTGGGTTGGCATCCTTTGGTGGGAGAGGGGGCGTGGTGGAGCACTCGGTGATGATGTTGGATGGGGAGGTCCTACAGGCAGTTTCCCGTTTCAGATGAGACTTGAGACCACGCCCCTGGGAAATGGAGGTTATCTAGGTTCTTCAAAAACCCTGTAGCTTGGCCAACTTCTAACCCAAATTTTTATTCCTGTCCGCCTGAAAGCCCCCAGCAGCTTTCACCTGAATGAAGCCCACCTCAGGCGCTGTCGTTTTGCATGTTCCACAGCTAAGGAGTCCCAGCAAGATGCAGCTGGCTTTCCGGGTAAAGGAACAAGGTTGGTTTTTGTTTTCTGTTTTTTGTTTTAATGTATCAGATTTCCTTCATATGGATTCAAGTGAAGAAATTCGTCTTTTAATTCTGAAGGATGATTTCAAAAAATACTAACGGACATCTCTATAAGGAAAATAGAATTAACTTTTATGAATTTTTCAGCCACTTTTCCTAACACTGCCCTTTTATTCATCTGATCTTTAGACATAAAGCACACATTTAAGTGCCCTCGTTTACAGTGGACTAGATACACAGACATCCCCTCAGCCCCTGCTGAGGGATTGTTGGTGTATGGAACCAACATGTCTTGAAGACTCGTGTTCAAGGAAATGTCAGAGTGGAGGAAATGGTGTGTGGTACACAGCCTTCCAGCAGCTTCTATCACCATCCATTCTGCCCATCACGCTCAGTAATGCGAGAGGAGCAACATTCCACACATGGGGAATCAGAGGCCTTTCCAGAGAAGCTAGAGTGCTTGTCCACCGAGGGAGTGATCTGGTGCCAGTAACTGAAAAAATGTTGCAGAATGTTCAGTACAAAAGTGATCTGCTAATGGGCCTACAACCCCCAGAAGACCCAGCACTTTTTCAGATGTACAAGAAGCAACTGAACAGCTCAGAGGTCCATCCTCATCCAAAATTTATAACACAATCAATCCATTCCATATGTTCCTGCAACTGGAAGAGATTTTGAGTGTGTTTAAATGCTGATGAAAAAGAGCTAGTCACAAAGAAGAGAGGTCGAAGATACAGGAAAGAGGAAGACCAATGGGAGGAAGACCCAGGAAGAGGCAGGGCGTAGAATCAAGAACAGGCACCAGGACTGGTCATAAAGAGGAGGAAGGCAGCCTCTTTTACTGTCCCAGGAGGGAAGCTACCGGTAGGTTTGTAGCTTTGCAAGGAGTAAAGGATTCTGAGACTGGACACCATCACACCCATTTCTGTGTATAGGGAAGAGTTCTCCCAGATCACCCCAGTATTTTTGCAAGTGCAACACTGTACTGTGCCTGTCCAAGGGGGAGAGAACAAGGGTGAGAGGTCCAGGCTCTGAAAGGAGCAAGGTTATATGAGCAATTCCTTACATTTGTAGGTTGGGTTGTTTTTGGTTTTGTTTTTGTTTTCCCTAAACATTTCACTTTGGAGTGCTTGGGTTTAATCAGAGAAGGCGGGAAACGTTCTGGGGATGTCATCTCACAGACTGCCCAGAGAAGACAGATTCAGCAGATTCGGGAGCAGAACCCCCAGAACCCCCTCTAGGGGCTGTGAGGAGCTATCAGTCTGGGCCTGGGTGTAATGCCCTCCCTCTCAGGAGGAAGGATGCCAGGGGGAGCTGCTGCCTAACACATATTGTGTTCGACCCGGAAATAATCCTTTCAGTGTGAGTATGCAAATGATGTCCTTCCTCTATCAGTTTGAAAATGAAATCATGTTTACCCAGTTTGTTTCAGATGAGAACTCCTTACCCTTAGGGTTTGTTTTTACACCACTTTTCACAGACCTGGCACACAGCAGTCACATAATAAAAACTCACTGAACGAATAAATGACCTACCATCTAAAGGACAGTTAAGTACCTATAGAGTAAACATGGGAAAATAATTTGGAAATGACTGAAACTCCATTGATTCAACCCTTAGGGATTAAAGGGTTAGTTTTACATTCGACCTAAGGATTTTAAACCCTTAGCTCCACCACCTGTGCCCTGTTAAAATCTTATATAGCCTTTCAGATACCCTAGAAAGTGGGCCAACAAAGCATGGAAACATAGTATCACAGAAGTAAAGACGGAGAAAATTTCAAGGGAGAGGAAGTAGCCAGTGGCTCAAACACTGCTGAGAGGTTTCAGAAGCTAAGGGCTGAGAGGCAGAATTTGATTCCGTAAAAGGGAAGTTGCTCACTTTATGACTTCCCACCTGCCTCAATTCCCTCATGTTGTGAAATGAGGAAAGAGAATCTTGTTCTATGAGCCGGACAGGAGCATTCCTTGTGATGGTGTGAAGATTGTGCTTTGAAAGAGTATTGGTTAGAAGTGCGTTTCGCTGCATGTAAGAGAAATCAAAACACAAAGTCTTAACCAAGTGGATTTTATTTTGCTTAGTTAAGGAGAAGTTTTGAGACAAGCCATGAAGAGCTGTTACAAATGTTGAAGGTAGGCATCAAGGACCTCCGGACCTTTGGCTGTTTCTTCCACCATTCGTCGTGTGTGGGTTTCATCCTCATGGTTGCAGAGTGGCTGCCCAGCCTCCAGCCATCATTCCTACCAAGAAGAAGAGAAAAAGACATGCAAAATTCCTATATTATCCGAGTCTATTTTCATCAGAAGCCCGCATCCTGTAGACTTTGCTTACAGGTCATTAGGCCAAATTGGGTGACACGGCTGCTCCAATGTGTAGAGGAGTCTGGGGATGTGAGTATTTTCACCTGAGCACATTGCCAGTCATTTCTTCTGGCAAGGGAGCAGAGAACCTATACTGGGGAAGCAACCAGCAGTATCTTCTGTGGGGTGATTATGTGAGAAAGGTTAGGCTTGAACATAGCAGCATGCAGCCTTTTTAGACTTATTACTTTTCTTTGTGAGAGACAAAAATATTAAAGCAATCCATTTGATTCTAATTCTAACAGGAAGTAAAGAATAAATCATCAGCCCCGGGCTAGTTTTCCTCATAAAATGGGGGGCACTTAGAGGGATCCGCGTCCTCTAAACCTCTGTGTTCCAGCCCTTTTGGTCTTACCGACAGGGCCTCCTATTTTTTAAAATTAAATTCCACCTTGCAAAAGTAGTTGGAAAAATCCAAGCTCCGCAAGTTGCTAGGAGACCCGAGGGGCTTTATTGGGTGAGCGGTCTGGGGCCTGCGTGGCTGAATTTCTCTCTCCTGATGACAGACATGCCTGAAACGTGTTTAATCCCCAAAGCTGTGTGGAGGTGGGCAGAGTTTCAGCTCTGAGCAGAGGGCGATCCCCCCATCACAGGCTGTGGCAAGTTCTCCCGAAGAGAAGCCACAGGCTGCCGAAGTACAGAAAAGGGTTTGCGACCTTCCTTCCATCAGGCGGCGACCCTGCTAGAGCAGTCCCATCTTCGAGAACCCTCTGCCCTCACCCTGTTAAGGCTTGCTCCCCGGGTTGCTGTTCTCAGACCAGCGAGCTCCTGGGGCAAAGGGTCTGTGCGATGCAGCCTGTGGTCTCCGAGATGAGCCGTGGATGCCAGGATGGATCTGCTTTTCCTCCCGCCCCCCCCCCCCCCCCCGCCATCTTTCTGCCCTGTCTCCCTGCCCTTCCCCGCTCATTGCTGGAGTGATATCTTTGTTAGCTAAATTGAGCACGTGCCAGATGCCCTTCATCTAAATGAGCAAGTGCTTTCTGGGACGCGGCCTGATGAAAGCATAGCCGAGCAGAGCTCCGTGAGCGCGCCAAACCCGGGCTGCCGGAAAGGAAAACCGTGTTGTTTTAAGAGGACTGCGTGTTGCGTGTGCCGGCTCATGGTCAGACACCAGGAAGAGGCAGAGTCGCGTAGCAGGATCTTCATTCCTGTGCAGCCCTCCCGGCCCGGCACCCTCCGGCTGCAGATGAGAGATGGCTCTGGGGAAATTCCATTCTGTAATTCATTTAAGCAGGATAAACAGAGCTCCCGCTCTGGAAGATTCGGCCCAGAGCACAAGGCGCTCGGCGTCTGCGTGGGGTCTCGGATGTCCACGGGCACACAGGAGTCAGGCGACCTGAGATGCAGCCGGCCCTGACACCAAAAAGCCATCGGACCTGAGTAAGTGACTTCATCTTGGTCTGTCATCTGTGAAGTGATTCGAGCTGCGTAGAGCCCCGAGGGCTGCAAAGGCTTTTAGAGTTTCCAGACATTTGATTTAAATTTCATTAAAGTGTTTTTCCAACTGTATATAAAAAAACAGACACAATCAAATATGACATGTGCCAAATTTTAACCCGCTAAGGACTGCCGACGTGTTCATTATGAGGCCGTATAAACACCTCTTTGCGGGGAAACCTTGTAATAAAGCTGTCTTGCCATCTGTCTAATCGAACAGTACCCCGAGGTTGCAAAGAAAGTTATCTTTAAAAAAAAAAAAAAAAAACCACACCCAATTGTTACCATGTGCAACTACTTATCTGAGTGCACATTTTTTCTTCTCAATATTGTGCAACCAACTAGTCCAGAGAGAGACTAGGTGCAGAGGCAGACCTGACTGATCCTATCCACCTAAGTTCAGTTTGGGGGGGTGGTTAAAAGAGCCTTATTATACTCACGGGATAGCCTATAATTTAAGTTCTTTTTAACTTCAAAATGCATTCACAGGAATAAAACACTGCTTTTATTTTCTGTGGAGGTGTTCTAAACAGTTTGAAAATTGTTAGAGCAGAGACTGCGGAAGGGGCCTATTGCTTTCTGAGTTTTGGTGGCTGTGTGCCCAGCTGTGGGTCAGGCAGTCACCAAGACAGGATTCCTCAGGCCATGGGCAGCAGTGGGCAGAAGAGGTTGGGGGGCTGGTGGTTAATGAAACTTTGCACGTATCCAGTGTTCACTGGCAGAGCCCAGCCTTGGAAGGGGGTGCTGGTCATTTCTAGATGGCTGGAGATTCAGGAACCTACAAATGGGTACAGGCAAAGGTGAAGCTGTGGCCTAGATAGGCAGTGAGCGCATCAGACTGGTTGCTGCAAAGTGGTTATGGGGCTGGGGGCGCCGTGGGGGGAAAGAACAGAAACTTGGGGACTTTTAAGAGAAAGCTCCCAGTGGGTAAAGCTTGGTCCTTAGTCCTCGCTGCTGATTTTGAATAATTATCTGTGTAGGACTTCAGGCAGACTTGCTGTCTCTTCGGCCAGGAGAACCTTGTTACCTGGGTATTTGATTCCCTCTCCGTTGGGAACTACAAAGAGCACAAATAATCCCCCACCACTGCCCCTTCTTTCATTCAGCTAGCAGTTGAGACAGTGGTTCTCACAGTGTAGGAATCCCCTGGAGAGCTGGTCAACCTCCAGATTTCTGGCCCCTCCCCCACTCAGGGATTCTGATTTAGTAGGTTTAGTAAGAGACCTGAGAATGTTCATTTCTTGCAAGCTCTCAAGTAAGCCTAATGCAGCTGATCCCTGGACCGCACCAAGTAGCACTGATTTCAATAGTGATGGGACACTCACTACATTCAGCATGATGCAGGGGGCCACAGAAGACAAAACAGGAAATCCTCAGTTGAATAAAGGGAACTGGAAGCCCTCTTTCATCATCGTGATCAATCGGAGATTTAAAGAGAAATCTTCAGTTGGGATCCACAGAGGATAGAGGGGAGAAATCGCAGGGACATGGAGAAATAAGACAGGGTCCTGGCCTGTGACCTATAGTCCATATAGTTGTCTACCCCAGAGAACAAAATGAAGATGACTTTTGCCAACATGGTGGTGAGTGTGGCTCTGTTATTTTCAAATCTGCTGCTAAAATGCCATACCCAACCTTTTGAAAGAGACAAACAGATGGCCTGTAGTTCAGGATGCTGTGTGTTGTGGCTACAGTTGGGACATCATATGACTCCTTTGTATAAACTTAATAAACTATTTGTTTCTCTCATAATGTAGCCATAAGCATTAATTACAGCGTAGAAGTATATGTATTTGGACCTATAAAATCCTCCTAACCAGCCAAAGCAAAAGGAAAAACTGTGGAGCATTTGGAACTTCAAAAATGAATTTTTGAAATGACCCTATTGGAATGGAGCATTTTTGCTTCAGCAGAGTTGGACTCCAAAAAGGAAAACAAAGACTAAGACATAAACCAAATTGCTTTTAAGAATTATCCTGTGGCAAGGTTATTTATTTTACTTGGAAAAACCAACATAGAATGTGTTTGCGCTGAGTGATCCATATTTACATGTGGTGGAGATAGTACTCAACTTAGTACAAAAGCTCATTTGAAGCCAGCGTTAGGAACTAAGAATACATTTTCTCATAGAAAAAAAAAAATTGTTATACATGGTGGAAAAAATGTGGGATGGGCACACATAAGGCTACACAGCCCATGATTAAGCTAAGGAGCAGGTCAAAGGATGCTCACCTGGGTAATGGAGCCCCAACCTTCTGAACAGGAATTATGGGGACAGGAGACTAGGCAGAGAAAAGTGACACTTCCACCTTTGCTGGGTGCCTGAGTGTTGGAAATGGATGTTTCATTTCCTCAAGAAAATGCGTTTTTAAAAAATGTTTATTTATTTATTTTTGAGAGAGGACAAGCAGGGAAGGGGCAGAGAGAGAGAGAGGGAGACACAGAATCTGAAGCAGTCTCCAGGTTCTGAGCTGTCAGTGCAGAGCCCGACGTAGGGCTCAAACCCACGAAGTGTGAGATCATGACCTGCGCTAGAGTTTGATGCCTAACTGACTGAGCCACCCAGGCGCCCCTCAAATAAATGCATTTTTTATTGAGTATCCTGTGTGCCAGACATCATGCTGGGGTGAAGGGTTGTCATGGGCAAAACTGAAAGATCCCTGCCCTTGGGGAGCAAATATTTTAATGGGGAAGATGGATGATTTAATAAAGAATTATAAGTGGGAACTTCTGAAATCATAGGAGCCCCTGACTCAGACTTGAGGTATGAAGGAAGGCTTCCCAGAAGAGGTGACATCTAACATGAGACCTAAAGGGTGAATAATGGTTAGCTAAGTGAGGGGGATCAGAGGGTCAAGGGGGAAAGAAGCCCTCTCCAATCAGAGGCATCTTTGTAGACAGAGTCCACAGTATGTGAGACAGCAGGCTGATGGGGGTAGGGGGAGAATGTGATGGCTTCCATTTTGGAAATGTTGACTGACAGGTCTGTGAGATGTAGGTGGTTGTGTAGAGAGTTGGGTAGGGATATGCAGCTCAGGAGGGCGGTCTGGGCTTAGAGTACAGACATGGGAGGCATCTGCATGAGGCTAGTGAGAAGGGAGCCAGTCACCCAAGGAGAGTAGGACCAAAGAAGCCAAGAAAAAAGATCCAAGAAAGCAGACAGAGCTCACTAGGGTCAAGGGCTTTAGAAAGGTCAAATAAGCCAATAACCAATGTTTCCAATGCATTTTGTCACAATGTCGCTCGAGCTAGACTGAGGTTGCTCGGAAGGCACTGGAGGTGGGATCCAGCAGGCAGAAGACTTGGCACCAGATGGAAGGGCAGTGGGAGACGAGGGTAGACTGGGTGGGCAGGGTTCAGGTGGCCGCAGGGGCAGAGGCAGCGTGTAGTGCGGGAATAGTAGTGAACAGCTGAAAGAAAGCTAAGTGGAAGGAGGAAGGTGGTCTCGAGGTTTGAGGCGAGGGGGGAGTTGCTCCTTAGTTCCCTAAGCCTGCCTCTTTCTTCACCCCCAGAATGCCCACCTGCTTCCTTAATCTTCAAGCTGTGTCCTTCTAGCCCTCCCTGCCACTTTGCTCCCTTTACAGATCATCACAACTCTCACTCCTCAGTCTAGCTGTTTAGGTATTAGACACCTGATTGAACAAATTTGTGCTCAGGTCAGAATGGCGGATGGCTCGTAACCCTGTCTGAGGCATTTGCATTTCTGTGGAAAGGATCTTGGTCACCTAACTAAACCTCTGCTTCAAGGGTCTTCAAATAGAGGAACAAATGCAGCACACAGTTTTAGGCAGCGGGCCAGAATAACTATCTGGAGGCTGCCTCCAAGGGTACCTTTTACCCACAAAGCGATCCAAAGGACACATGCCAAGGAAACAGAAATGTCTGCAGAGAAGACCTTGTGCAGCGAGCTTCCTGATGTGGATGGAACAAGATGCCTGGAGCAAATTTCTGGATGCTCTCCGAGCTCTCCCTCTTCCAGGCGTGAGAATGGCCCAGAATCTGGAGATCACGGCTCCTGAAACAACCGATACAATGAAAGCCAGCAACCTAGCACATCAGCTTCCACTGGGTTAGGCTCACATTGGGTAGCACACATAAGGTATAAAGCAATGTACCGTGACAGTTGGAATTGACCTTGTAGACAGTGTCCACTGATGACAAAGTAATAATTTGCCATAAGTCAGCAGTAAAGAGCCCTTTATTTTGTCATCCGTTACTGCAGCCTGGGGCATTGGAACTGTGAAAATATGTTTAGGACGGAGAAGTCTTTATTCCTCCCTGTGAGCTGTATACAAAATGTGTGGGAGTGTGTGTGCGCTCCCTGATCCTTTGGGCCCCAGGGATATACTAGCACAAAGAGAAACTCCACTTTTAATAACCCTGAAGTCTGTCAGCTTATGTCTTCAGATATGGAGTTCAAGATCTTTGTATCTTGAATCAGAAGCAATTTTTTAAACATATTTTATTGATTATTATTATTATTTTTTTTTTACATTAAAGAGAAACATGCTCATTGGAAGGAGCTTGGAAATCACAAAAAGGCCCCCAAACAGAATGAAAGTTATCTCTGATTCCAGTTCCCAGGGCTAGTCACTGGAGTCTGTTTTGATCCATTTCATTTAAGTCTTTTGCATTTCTCTTTCTGGGTCTCTGGCTCTCTCTGGTGCTCTCTCTCTCTCTCTCTCCCTCTCTCTCTCTCCCTTTCATTAGGGATAGTATCTCTATATAATTGTGTATCCTGCCGTTTTAACTTAACTAAATCAGGAAATGTAAAAGCAGTAACAGACCTTTATATTTCCACATAGTCTCCTTTATTTCTGTCTATATCTTTCCCTCTCCCTTTGCCAGTATGTCTTTATTTTGGAGTATTTCCATTTTTTTCAAAGTTCAATTCAAAATGTAAAACAGTTTATGCTTTTTGAGTTTTATTTCCTCCTTACACTTGTTAAAATAGACCAGTAAAAAGAAAAGTTTTCCAGATTATGATAGATCCCCCTCCAACTATATAACTGGTTCAATTTAGAGTCTTAGGATAATGATCTGCCACCATATGTGGGTTATAGCTTGAGGTTTGCATAAAAATATGTCTTGGATTAAGTGACTATGCCACAGTGCCGGGGAACTGGCTTGTTTCTAGGAAGTTCAATATGCCTGACTTTTGCTTGATGCAGTCGCTAGAGCTTTCTGATGAAGGCAAATAAAACAATCAATTAGGGCTGTGACTTCAGGTGTGGTCTCTTCCCAATCGAGGTGTGCTCTGTGTTCAAAAAGCTTTTCTACGAAGGAGGCATAATGCCTCGGAAAGCAATTATCTTATTAAAGCCTACACTTGTCTGGGGAGCTGAGGTCAGCCACAAAGCCATTGGAAAAAAGTTGTCTGCCATAGAAAGCAGTTTCTTGGCGGGGGGGCGCGGGGGGGCGGGGGGGAGGGCCGGTATGAACAACTGTGCTTTTGAATTGAGTGACCATCCGAGACCACGAGCCCATGTAGATTAAACACAGAGCAAACCTCGGACGTGACCGCCCCCTTTCCCTTCAAATCACTCCCATTTCAAAACAAAAACAAAAATAGAAATACTTTAAACTTAGCTTTCCAGAGCCAGTGCCCTCCCCCCAAACTGTCTGTTACTGCTTCTGCTTGGATTATTTTCATTTGGGTTGTGTTTTTCTGACCGAAGGCCAGGCCCTTGTCTTTGTGTATTTGTAAAGTGCCATGTCTACTTACTAGTCTTTAGAAATTACAGACAAAACCAGGAATGCAAGAGACACTGGCAGCTTTTCTGAACTGATACTCTGCCCGAGAACCAGAATGGAGTACTTTCATAAGGCAATATTGAAGCATTCTCATTTCAAGAAACTAAATTAAATCTACATTTGCTGAAAATGAAACCATTGGCAAAGTGTCTGGCCCCCCCCCCCCCCCACCACACACACGGTTCATTGTGATGCCATGTTAACGAGCTGTTGTTTTTCGATCAGTATAAAAGGGAGCACATCCTTTCTGGCGAGTGAGGCTCATGACAATGATGGTTGAGTTTAGACTTCACGCCACCCTCTGTCCTTTTTGGTGCCAACTTCCTGGAGATCCAGAAGTTTGTTGGGCATGACGGTTGTCATCTTATGAGATGTATCTGGCTGTGTTCAAGTTGCAGAATTTAGGAGCCATAGGAAAGAGAACCCATCATTGGAGAGACACAGAACTGTGAATATTTGGGTTCAGTTGATAGGTGCTATGAGGCCAGGTCAGCAGAGCAGAAACAACATGGAGGCAAACTGGACAAAGCAGGATTCCTTCCTTCGTTCCTTCGTTCCTTCGTTCCTTCCTTCTCCCCTTCCTCCTTCCTTCCTTCCTTCCTTTTATCCTTCCTTCCTTCCTTTTCTTCCTTCCTTTGTTCTTTTCTTTCTTCTTCTTTCTGTCCCTCCCTTCCCCTTCCCTTGATGGAATTGGGTATAAAACATGGGGTCTATAAAATCTTGGTTTCTTAGAAATTTATTTCCTAGTTCTGTAGAAACAGTTGCATTAGATATTGTCTATGATTTAATAATATGCTTGTGAACCCAAAGATCTAAGCGCTGTATAAAATCAGCCAATTATGCTAAACTAGTATGTCTGCCTGTATTGTGCTTGTCATTAGCCTGCAAAGAAAGGCCTTTAAAATTGATACTTTAGAAAGCATTTGAGTGCATTTGTTTGGTATTGTTTTCTTTTTCAGTAAAGTTTAATTAGTACAAAAAATATCTTTCCTTCCCTTCCTTCTTTTTCTCTCTCACTTCTTTCAACTGAATCCTGTAACAAATCGACTTCCTCACTTTGACAATAGACGTGGCTTCAAAAAGGCAGAAATAACTTGAAAATAACGTTTGAGATCTCCATGTCATGAACTTTCTTGCTCAACCAAGTTTGTAAAGCAATTCATATATACGGTGTGGGTTGAACAACAGAATAGACCTTGAAGGGATTTGTGCCCAAACGTCCCCTCTTCCAGAGCACAGTGATGACCCCAAAGTCCACAGGGAAGCAGACCAGCCTAGCAAAACTCCTTGCAAGCTGGACTATCCTAAAATGAGCTGGCAGCTTTGGGGCAGCCTACGTTACTAGAGTGCTCGACCAGGCCCAGTTAAGGCACAAGGAGGCCAGGAAACTTACTTGGAAGAAGTGTATTGAATTTAATGACCCAGGCAGGAGCAGAGGTCACTGCAACAGAACTCTGAAACAAAATCATCCCACATGGAAAACTGCTGTCTCTTTCTCTTTGAAAAAGCCCAGGAAAGTCACAGGCAGAGCCAGAATATAAACTTAGAAATTTTACTTTTCATCTTAGGGATCGATAATTGAAATATTTAACAACATGCCCACCCCACAAAAATCAGGTTGGAAACTTAACGGTTAAGCTTTCATCACAGATTTTGTTCCAAATGTGCACTGTTGAGGAAAAGCAGTTAAAATATACGTTTTCAAACAATTGTGACTACTACAAGAGGGTTTTTTATGAGAACATTGTTTAATATAGTCACATTTCATTTCTAAAAATAGACAAATAACAAAATGACTCACAGATGTTGATTTATGAGAAAAATAGTGAACTGTATAAACTGTAATGTATATGAAGGAAGGGTAGGGGCCCTCATTAAAAGCCCCTCCATAAAAAGTGCCTCCTGCTCTCTGACTTCCCAGGAAATTCCTAGTCCTGGCTGGACCCCCACACGTGACGGACACCGGGACAGCAATTGATGATGACACCCGCGTCCAGCCTAATGCTCTCTGACAGGAGGGAGCACAGGTAAGGGCAGATTTTCTGAGCTGGCAATTCTCACTAGGTGGTCTACATCAGAATCACCTGGAATGCGGCTTAAATGCAGATTCCCAGGCCTCGCCCCTAGAAACTCAGATTCCCTTTGGAGCCCAAAAGTCTGCATGTTGAACTTGCACTCCAAGGCCTTCTGCTGCAGGAGGAACATGAACCACACCTTGAGAAACGCTCCCAGGGAAGCCATTTGCCCACTATCAGAATTGTGCCCGCAGTTTGGGGTTCACCCGGCCTTTCCAGTGGTTTCTGTTAACAGCTGAGGGAGTCTTTAATACACACGCTTTGGGGAGCCTCAAAGTCATTAGAGATGACCAAGCCCACATTATGCGTTGAGTCTGTAAACTGTTTGCAATTAACATAAGCGTAATTATCTAGATCAGACTGCCATTAATAGAGTGCGTGGTCCTGGAAACACACCTAATCCCTGCTGAGCTATATTGTAATTACTGTCAACATCTTCAAGGCCCCTCCTGACTCAGCCCCACCCTAGTGTTCGTCCAGGGAGATTGAACTTCCTGCCCCATTGCAGGAGGCGTTTGCCATGTGTGGGTGGAAGTGGTGGGTGCTATTGTGAGCAGAAGCTTTACAAGCCACCGTGTGGTTCTGCCCTCTCTCTTCCCTCCGCCAGTCCCACCCAGGAAGTGCTCCTTTAGTCTGCACCCTCGGGGAAAGACAGACGGCGGAACCCGCAGGTTCCAGGAGTGAGAAATAAACCCAACCTGCTTTACCTCCTGGAGCCTGAGGAGGTGTTTGGTACCACAGTGTAGCTGGGTGAAACCGGCCACTAATATGTCATATGGCTGCTCATTAGCGCTGGTGAAATACTAAGCCGGGTGTGGCTAAGGGAAAGGTCTTGGTCCTCAGTGGGTCTGGGATTTTATTTTGTCATCCGAATTCTTTTTTATTTTTTTATTTTTTTTTCAACATTTATTTATTTTTGCGACAGAGAGAGACAGAGCATGAACGGGGGAGGGGCAGAGAGAGAGGGAGACACAGAATCGGAAACAGGCTCCAGGCTCTGAGCCATCAGCCCAGAGCCTGACGTGGGGCTCGAACTCCCGGACCGCGAGATGGTGACCTGGCTGAAGTCGGACGCTTAACTGACTGCACCACCCAGGCGCCCCAGTCATCCGAATTCTTTGTGTTCCGCACCAGCGTGTGTGTTTCCTTTTAATGGCATATTTCGTATTAACTGCGGAAAATTAGGAGTCATCTTGTAACGCTCAAAGTTCAGGGTTGAAATACCAGAACTTCATCAGCTGTATCTCTGTAAATTAATCCCTAATTGCCAAGAACCTAGGAAGTTTCCTCCACTTCCGATATACTTTGCGGAGGGGCCTGGCACCAAATACCAATGAGCAGGGCCACTTGCTATATGTGGGGTTTTGCAGCTTCTTGTCTCACTTTCCGCGCCGAACGTGCTGTGTCTGTCTTAGTGTCTCCATGGAGCTGTGGCCATGAGAAATGGTGGTTACTTGCCTCCGCTTTGTGGTGAGAGGGAAAAAATAATTCCACTTGAGACCATGCTTTCTTTGAGAGCTCCAGTATGGGCTTCACAGTATGTTCTGTATAACGTTATCAAATATCTCTGTGAAAACCGGTGTGTTACTGCTTAACCATTTCACGTCTCACCGTGTTAAGCCAGTGTCCTTGTGTTAGTGTCAGAACACGCCTGTGAGTTCCGAAGGGTGGGAGAGAAAGGAGTGCGCTGTGCTAGCTCACGGAGAATTTTCCAGAGGCCACAACCCATCTTTAATTTTTTTTTTTAATGTCTTATTTATTTTTGAGACAGAGAGAGACAGAGCACGAGCAGGGGAGGGGCAGAGAGAGAGGGAGACACAGAATCTGAAACAGCCTCCAGGCTCTGAGCCATCAGCCCAGAGCCCGACGCGGGGCTCGAACTCACGGACCGCGAGATCGTGACCTGGCTGAAGTCGGACGCTTAACCGACTGCGCCACCCAGGCGCCCCATGGCCACAACCCATCTTAACTCTAGGGCTTCTGGTACTGGGGGACCAACTTTTTCCGCTAATCACACCTCTATTTTGCCAGGTCAGCTTCCAGATTTCCAACATTTATTTATTTTTGGGACAGAGAGAGACAGAGCATGAACGGGGGAGGGGCAGAGAGAGAGAGGGAGACACAGAATCGGAAACAGGCTCCAGGCTCGGAGCCATCAGCCCAGAGCCTGACGCGGGGCTCGAACTCACAGACCGCGAGATCGTGACCTGGCTGAAGTCGGACGCTTAACCGACTGCGCCACCCAGGCGCCCCCAGATTTCCTACATTGTGTTGGGCTCACGCCCTGGGGCTAGTTTAAGCATAGACAAAGGAATTTATTCAAAGCTAGTGGCTTGTATCTTGGCCTTAGAATGGCCTCGGAGCAGGAATTCGGGAATTGTTGGGAGCCAGCCCAAAGCCGCACCCTCCAGACGTCTACTCCAAGTGTCCGTCGTCTCCACCTTCCCCTACCCTTCAGCCCCCTACGATGCCTACAGCTCCAGAATCCACAGGTTACATACAGTTCCAGCCTCAAGCACAGGAGGGACCGTTCCATTTAGTCTCAATTCTCATGCTCATCAATTAGGCAAATATTTATTGAACACTAACTATGTTCTAGTCACTGTTGTAGGTGCTTGGGATATGTGAGGGAATGAAGAAGATCCCTGTCGGGTGGGAGATGGGAGCCAGAATCATGTTCCATAAATATGGTTGTCAAAGGCCCAACTCCATAGATCTCAGTAAGAAGAGGTCATTGTCAGCTGGGCAGACAGCCCAGAAGGTGACACTGGCACAACCAAAAAGACAACGCCAAATGGGAAGATTGTACCTTTTTAGTTCACCCACGAGGACGTGATCTCATACAACGTTTTTCGTTCGCGCTCTAGCAGTGCGTTATAAGCCTTCTGCTATCGCTCCTTGTTGGTTCTCTTTACTCAAAGCCGGGCTGGTGATTCATGCTATTAACTTCATTTCAGAGAAAAGCAAAACCAAAACGAATGGGGGCAATACAAGAAAGGAGTTAGATGAAGTCCGTGTTGGTTGGGCACCACTCCTAAGAATTCTCTGGAAGCCGACGGATTCCTGAAACATGGTCCAGTGACCACTAGAGTTCACTTCTGGAATGAATGAATAGTTTTCTTGCAGTGTCTCTCAAAGCTGTCCCAAAGCTACGCTATTTTTCTAACACATTCTATGCAGCTTTGTCTGCATTTTTGTGAAATAGATGGTGCCGTGGGCCACGGTTCTCAACCTTACTTCTTCTGCTCCTTGTGGCCGTGCAGCAGGCCTCCGGTTGGAGGTGTACAAAGCTATGGCATGAAGAGTTATTTTGTAACTGACAATGTGTATTTGGCTTTGAGTGAAAACAACCAGACCCAGAACCTGAAAGGAGCTGTTCCAGCCGGACTGTGGGGACAGTGCAGCCAAGAGGCCAAGGAGAAGCAGGAGTGAGACTAGAAATGAGGGATTTACCTGACACTGCCACCGAAGTTGCCGGAAAATCCTGGAGACTCGTCTCACTGGAACATGCGGTGACTTCATCCCCTAACGGGTAGTTCCATTTAGAGAAAGAAGAAAACAGTTGCAAGTGGCCAGTTAGTCCAGTAAAAAGTGTGGATTTGCTGACCCCCTGCCCCAATAGACAAACATTAACCCAGCGACACCCAAAGTGAATGTCTCAGAGGTTCCTTCACAGAACATCAGATGAATGATTTCTGGGGAAGGGAGGAGGAAATTCCGGCAAAGAAGATCACCCAGGCAAAGACCTAGAGGCAAGAAGTAACACACACAAACACAGTTGGAGGGGCTGTGCGTTATTTCCGGCTCATGTTGTAAGGTAGGGAATCCGAGGAACAAGGCTGGTAGAGGTGGACAGTGTTGTTTTTGTAGAGATTTGATCTTATTCTGTAGGTATAGGAAACCCTCGAATGGCCTGATTTGGATTTTGGCTGTTGTTGGGAGACAGTGTGAGTTTCTCACTTTTGTTGCATGTATTGCAAATGAAGTACTAACTGCCCTTTTGTTCTTTCAAGGATGTTTGTTCCAAGAATCCTAGCTTCCCAAGCAAACTTGGAAGATAGACGTAGTGACTCTCTGGAGCAAAGAGCAGGCAGCTTTGCTTACAGCCTGCTATAAAAGATTCACCTTCCCTTGGGGAGACTATGTGGCTCAGTCTTTTAAGCATCCAACCCTTAATTTTGGCTCAGGTCAGGATCTCACAGTCATGAAATCAAGCCCCATGTTAGGCTCTGCGCTGGGTGTAGAGCCTACTTAGGCTTCTCTCTCTTCCTCTCCCTCTGCCCCTCCCCTGCTCGCATGCTCTCTCTCTCACTCTCTCAAAAAAATAAAAAAATTTTCAGCTTCCCTAAGCTTAGGGTTTCTCAACTGGGACAGAATCCCACTGCATATGTAGCATCTGCCTGGGTCACTCCATGTTGCCCCTCTGGTTCTTGGGGAGGCAAGGGGAACTGAGATGAATGTGGAGTTCAAGCTGCTTGCTATGCTGGGAGTTATTAAGTCCTGTGCATCTGACCCAGGATTCTTGTGTATTCTTTTTTTTTTTTTTTTTTTAATTTTTTTTCCAATGTTTATTTATTTTTGGGACAGAGAGAGACAGAGCATGAACGGGGGAGGGGCAGAGAGAGAGGGAGACACAGAATCAGAAACAGGCTCCAGGCTCTGAGCCATCAGCCCAGAGCCTGACGCGGGGCTCGAACTCCCGGACCGCGAGATCGTGACCTGGTTGAAGTCGGACGCTTAACCGACTGCTCCACCCAGGCGCCCCAGGAATCTTGTGTATTCTGTCAGCATCCATGAAACTGCTAGAATCCAAGCTAACTTGTTAGCTCACAAGTAGGGTAAATCCTAGAACCGTCATGGCTCTCAACAGCTGTATGTTGGTCCAATAGTATGGAGGCTGTTGCAGGGACCCAGGTGAGAGATAAATTCCTTAGCTGGGACTATGAAAGTAAGTATGGAGAGGAGGCAATAGATCCCAGAAATACTTAGAAAGCAAAATTGACGGGACTTGTGATGGTTTGGGATTGGAAGAGTCGGCGAAGGAGAGAGGTCATAGATGATTCCAACTTCTAGCTTGAATATTTGAGTCACTGCTGGAGCTTCTGACTACGAGCGTGTTAGAGAAGGAATCTGGCTTTGGGAATGGAATGAAGAGTTCAGTTTTATGCAGGTTGCCAACCTTTGAGGCGCTTGTGGGACCTTTGGGTGCTTTGAGGTGCTGATGGCCAGAGGACACCTTACCGGTGCATGTCTGAAACTCAGGGAGAGATGCCAGAACTGTCCGAGACTTGGGAGGCCCCAGCATAAGACTGGTGTGGTAGCCAGCCTCCAAGATGGCTCCCAATGATCTCTGCCTCCTAGTATTTGTTCTCTTGTGTCGTTTGTCCTTCATTGTGTCAG